GTAAATACATTTGTTTATTTATTATTAATTTGTTTATTAATAAATGTGTTATTAATCCTCCATGTAAATCAAAATGACTTAAACCTCATTGTATATCTTGGCATAGCGTTTGGACATGACCATATAAATATGTTATTTCTAATAAAAATAAGTACTTTACAAAATTATTCACAGATGTTATCCTGTAAATGCAGCCGTTAGCAGATATATTCATAGTGTTTGTGATGAATGTACCTTTTGTAACATATCAGTTGAAGAAATTGAACATTTATTTTTCTATTGCCCTTTTTATATTTCATTTTGGATTGATTTTAAGATAGACATAATTTAAAAAAGCCTTAATTTTGAACCTCATGATGTTTTACTTTGTTTTCAAAACCCATATTTTTCTGACAAACAAAATTCCATCATTAATCTCTTAATTATCTTAGCAAAGTTTTATATTCATGTCAAAAATAATTCCAAAGAAACCATCATATATCGCTTTTTGTAACCCTGATCTTAAAATATATTTTGAAACCCTTTCTAATATGAGATCACAAAATAAGAAACTTATAAAAACAATAAAAATTCTAAAGTTTTTCAAATGTATGTAACTGCCCTATTATATAGTCCTGGTATTTTTTTTTTTCATATTTATGTTTATGTTCATTTTATGTTTTTTTGTTGTTATTCTGTCTTACATGCTTTAAACTGTACGACATTGCTTTATATCTGCCTTGTACTTATATGTGATGGAACTAAAAAAAAAAAACATCCGGCGAGGACGCCTTCTTCTCTGAGCCGTACTTCCGCTTCTCTCAGTGTTGCCAAGTGAACTACTTTAACACTGTTTTCGGTTAAAACGACTCCAAAAATGTGATATTTAGCCTCTGGAATGCGAGTTTTATCAGGGGAACCCCGCCAAAAAAACGTGAATTATATCCCCCGGAACGCGATTTTTACCGTGGGACCCCCTCGAATTGCGATTGGGCCAGTTTTGAGTAGCAATTAGGCGGGTTTTGTTGTGAAAACTTGGCAACTAGTTATGCAAAGTCCGATTCATTTCCGCGAACCGGTTCTTTTCGGACAGATCGGCTCATTGAACCGGTTCAAAAATCCGATTAATCGGTTCCAAGCAATAACGTCTCTACGCATTTCTTTTCTAACACCTCAGTGCCATGTTGTATCACTGAAAAATTCAAATAAGTCATTTGTGTCAACACATACTGAAACATTCAAAAAATAAAGTTATTTGTGTGAAAGCATATTGCTGATTATTGCCATATAATTCACTTAAGTTAATGGTGTTTGTGGTCACAGTTTCATTCGCGGATCACGACTGACTGACCAATATTGACTAGCCTACAACTCGGATAAGATTCCTAAAAGTTTCACACCTACAGCACACATTACAGACATTGATGCACAAACGCGGATATGTTCTACATGTCTACACTATAAAGAATGAACAAACCAGTCTTATAAACTCCTTGATTTCGCTTAAGCAACTTTAAATATAATATGCATGCACAATAAACTATTATAAAATGTATTTACATCACTCGACAGAAAGGTTTTTGCAGAAAACCATTTTTTTGCAGAAAAATAAAATGTAAATTATTGTTGTTGTGCTTTCTGAATTGTTATTTTGTTTTTTAGACTTGCATTTGCGTTTGTAATTTGTTATTTTGTTTTCAGAATTGTGATTTGTTTTGCACTTCTCGGCCACCGTAGTTTTTTCTCCTGGTTTGCTTTTCGCAAGACATTTATATTTTAGCGTTTTTTTTTTGTTTTGTTTAATATCACAATACCACACATCATGCTCCACATTAAAGTACAATATTGCCAAAACATTATATAGAGGAGACAAATAATGAGCAGAAAATCTCTCTCCCACTTCGCTCCCAGTCAGCTTTGAGCTGTCCTGTTGTAATAAAGGCAAAAATAAATATAAAAAAGAGTGTGCTATAAGAACATACTGTCTTATTTAGAATAAATACTGTACTGTACGTCACTTTAGATGACAAGTGACATATTAGTAAGTACAGCTAAATAAAGAATAATAATAAAAACAAAGAGAAATAAAGAGACTAACTGATTGCAGATCATAATTAAGCTGTATTTTTATTAAAAGAAAACGAGAAAAACTATGGAAGCTTGTTTCTGCTTCCACTGCATTAAAAAAAAAGGTAATTGAGACTTTTCCCCTTGGTTTTTCCCATAATTCTGTTTTCTCTCTCTCAGAATTGCGAGTATATATCTATAATATATATATATATATATATATCAGTACTCTATCATACTTTTATCAGCCCGCGGACTCTTATTCTGCTTTTACGTAAAGATATAAAGGAAGCTCACGCAACATCCGGCGAGGACGCCTTCTTCAGAGACGTACTTCCGCTTCTCTCCCCCTACCTTCTTGTGCGGTGCGAGAGAGAGCGCGTGTGCCTCAGAGCCTCGGCACACATCTTATATAAAAAATCAAAAATACCCAAAAAAAAATTCACAAAACAGAAAAAATACCAACAAAAATTCAACTTTTATTACCGAAGACCTCGGTGAAGCAGGATCCGCGGACAGGTTTGAGGAGTTTAATCGCAGGGCAGCACCGCAGTAGGCCTGAGGAGATTTTTAATCATCGATACCGCCAAAACATCGACGCCAAATCGGTACCAAACGCGTTTTAATTCGTCTTTGAGTCTGTTCTTTAAGAGTATTTAACCGTGTGACGGTCTTCGAGGAGGAAAGCGAGCAGTTTTGGTCTCGTCCGTTCGCGTGTGTTCAATCAGGTCCGCGTCTCCAGCTCTTCGCTCTGCTGTGTGAAGATGAACCCCAGCGCGCCCAGTTACCCGATGGCTTCTCTGTATGTGGGCGATCTGCACTCGGACGTGACCGAGGCCATGCTGTACGAGAAGTTCAGTCCAGCCGGGCCCATCCTCTCCATCCGGGTCTGCAGGGACATGATGACCCGCCGCTCGCTCGGTTACGCCTACGTCAACTTCCAGCAGCCCGCCGACGGTGAGCTAACCTCCGCTGCGTCTCAGATCCTGCTCGGGATATTTGTTTTTAAAAACCGGAGAGCTAACATATTTGTATATGTAGAAGTATACAATATTTTAATGTAGTCGTATTATATACTTTTCCATATGTTCGTTGTGTGTGTGTGTGTATATATATATTAGTCTGTATGCATGTATACGTGTGTGTATAATATATATATATATACATACAGACTATATATATTGTCTGTATATATATTTTTTGAAATATATATTTTTATACTTACAATTTTTATTATGTTTTAAATGATGTATTTTATATATTCTATATTTAATGTATTATGATTTTATATATTTATATTCGACCATTTTTTATATTTTATATAAAATATATATTCTATAATATCAATTGTATCATTTATTTATATATTTTTAGATATACTTTACATAATTTTATATTTATTTTAAAATATTTATATACATTGTTTTATATATAGGTTTACAATTTTAGAAATATTAATTTATATAGGTATGTGGGGGCGTGTTCGAACGAGCCATTTTAGGTAGGCGTGGCTGACTCTGAACTTTTATAAAGAATATCTCTTTGGATTTGAGACTTTAGTCTTTGCAACTTTACAGATCTTCTTTATGCACCAAGAGCTTGTAACACTCCAAAGAGAAAGGAACAATTGAAATCGCATCATATGACCCCTTTTAAGATGTTTTTTTTAATTGTATAAGATAGTAAATTTTATGTACACAGATGTTTATTATTGTTTTATATAAATTGTGTGTATTGGACGTGTCAAGATAAGTTCTGTGTGTGTGTGTGTGTAAGCATATTTGGCAATCTCGTTACGCTTATGTTTTTAACCGTTTCAGCCGAGCGCGCCTTGGACACAATGAACTTTGACGTGATCAAGGGCCGGCCCCTCCGCATCATGTGGTCCCAGCGAGACCCGTCACTGCGCAAGAGCGGCGTGGGAAACATCTTCATCAAGAATCTGGACAAGTCCATCGACAACAAGGCCCTCTACGACACGTTCTCTGCCTTCGGCAACATTCTGTCCTGCAAGGTAAAGACGAGTGTTTGCAGTGAGATGCATGTTTGTGGCGTTTGTGCTCGTGCTCAGTGCTGCTGCTCTCTCTCTGAAGGTGGTTTGCGATGAGAACGGCTCTAAAGGATACGGCTTTGTTCACTTTGAGACCCATGAGGCTGCAGAAAGAGCCATTGAGAAAATGAACGGCATGTTGCTCAATGACCGCAAAGTGTAAGTGTGTGTTTGAATTAACTGCATTGAACTAAGCTGTGTTTGGTTTGGAGTGAAGCGTGCTAAATGTGTCTCAAACATCATGTACTGCTTTATTTTTTTATTTACAGTGGGTACGGAAAGTATTCAGACCCCCTTAAATTTTTCACTCTTTGTTATGTTGCAGCCATTTGCTAAAATATCGTTGTGTACGGAACATGGTTAGTCTACGTTACCCGAAAAATTCAGACTTCGTCTTTTTCGACGGGGAAAAAGTTCCAGGGATTCATCTCCTTCGGCCGTCCTACACACAGCTGACTCCGCTCGCACCAACCGGAGGGGGAGGGTCGTGTGACTCGCTACGCTCTTCGCTGCACACAACTGAGGGAGTCCTGCACTTTCCGTCTTTGACGACACGTAAAAAAACTGCGCATACCGCAGGAACGGTATAACGGGAAATTTTAGTGGTTTTGAAACCGTGACTTTTCCAAACCGCGGTATACCTTGAAACAGGTTATCGTCCCATGCCTACAGCTGACGCGGACTTAAAATGTGGATTTTTTAAATTTATTTTTGGAATATTCGAAATTCGACTTTTTTTGACAGCCCTAATCCACATGCATATTTATTTGGTAGTTTTCTATATCGGGGGTGCAGAGCACATTAGTAAGGCCACTGTAACGAAGGTATGCCTTGCTGACGTTCACTTGATAACATCTTGCGGCGACTTCTGGAAGTAACCCAATAATTAGAATTTCCTTTAGAATTTCCGGTGTGGTTGGATGCATTGATGACACGCATATTCCCATCATCGCACCTTCCGAAAATGAAACGGATATGGAATGGAAGGATGCCATATGGAAGTGTAGTCCGAGATGTATGCTGTAACCACCACCACAGCTGTTACATAAACACAAATTATGCACAA